TATTAAAATCTCTATAAAATATCAGATAATCTGATGTGCATATGCCTAATGATCATTTTTGAACGCCAAATAGCAGTTTTTAAACTTATTTTTTTTCTTAGCAAAGTATAATTAATAGAAAAAATCGTAGTATTCTACATCCTCCCCCCATAGAGTACCTTACCTTACGGGAAGTTAAGGATTTAGATTTTACTTCATGAAGAGAAGTATATGGTTTTATATTTTAAATTAATAAAACTTCATACTTAACATATTTTATTGACATTATTATCATTAATACTGATAACTATTGATTATATTATTACTAATACCGTTTAGACATTGCGTCATAATTTAAAAAAAAAACATTTGTAATTACCATATATATTGCAAGGTGCACCCATTCATATAATTAAATAATATTATAAATATAACGGTCAGAATACAAACTACGCATTTAGTGAATTACTCATTGCTACAACATTGTAAGCTCGATATATCCTTGGCAAGCAGAGAACGTGTTTATCATATATTAGATATTACCAATATGCCATAGCAATAAAAATCACGATAAAACCTCATAATAAAAATTTGGAAAAAAAAACATCAATTACATCAATTGTATTTTAGTAAATAATTTGCTAACATCCAATGTATTTGTGTATTGATTTCGTTTCGTTTACTAATTACGCGTGTTTACGGCACGAAAGCATTTTTCATAATTGCTGCGCTGTTTGAATATAAATAAAAGTAATTTAATACCGGTCAATTAACTCATTTGGCTCTGATAACCTTGTTCCTCGTTCGCATACCGGTTTGATGTTTCGGAAATGAAGCGATTTGCGATAAAAAAATAAACTGCTTTCGGGCTGTTCTTTGAGAGGCGACATTTCGTACAACTGATACTATTATCATCTGTGGCTGTGACGATCGTTTCCCCTGACATTTGATCTCAATGTGTCATATACGTGTGGGTATGTGTTTTTTCGCCTATTAAATTCGATGCTTTTACAACGGAGAGAAGGTAAATATTTGCACACACCAGGCGCATTAGCTATATATAATTCTTTTCTCATTCGGTGAATTCGTGATATGTTTTCAATGTTTTGCGTGTTAAATGTTTTTTCAATAGTGTAAATTACATTAAATGCACAAAAATATCTAATAATTTTTATTTTTTACTCGATTTTTTATCTTTGGTTAGAAATTTTGGGTGTTTGAAGGTCCACGGGTCAAAAGGTCCATCACCGATATCTCAAAAACAAGTAATGTTAGAAATTTTATAACAACAATATTTGAAAGTAGAAGGGAAAGGATTTATAACCAGCCATCACCTTGATTTTTATGACGTTGCTCTCGGGAGAAAAATAACAATGTTTGAAAATACATAACCTAAGCATTTTCTTGCGTTATTTGTTTCGTTTGTGAGCACTATTGTTTAGTTTTCCAGACCTTAATATAAATTTTAAGTAAAAGTTATTTAATTGTTTTAAAAGATGTATTGTTAATTTTAAGTTAGAATCAACAGTTTTTTAAATTCCTCTATGAGAGCTTACACATGGGTGGGGTAAAAAGGACTAACTGAACCTTTACCCTGGCATAGGTGTAAATAATAGAAAATAGTAATTAAAAAAGAAAATTAAGTTAAAACAGCAATTTTAAAGAGATTAATTAAAAAAATAGCTATTCCAACTCTGCTGGTGAATATTTCTGACTAAATACCAGATCAAGGTTATATACAATTGTCTTTGTAAAAAAATGATTTATATTTTGCATTGGTTGAATAATGTAACTATTATTCCATAAAATTCCTTCAAAATTGAAAATTAGACCTGTTTCCCTCTGGCTGTCCCATTTTACCCCGGGGTAAAAAGGACCAATTAACAAATTTTTGAAAAACAGCAAGAAAAAAACACATTTCTACAACGATGTATTAGCTGAGAGTTATACTGAACATAGTCAGATTCTTGTGCGTTTGATATGTATTTTTATAGTGATACAATTGGTATTAATGGTTTTCACAATATAAATTGCTCAAAGTCAAATGGGACCTTTGTGCCTCGCCCTATCTTATTATATATATATATATATATATATATATATATATATTGTATGATTCTGAATTTGATGTTGACATATGTATTAACAAAGTCTAATAATCGGGCATAACATCAATAAAAAACATGAATTTCTTTCAAAAATTTATTTTAAATCCATACGTTTCGGCTATAATCCTAGCTTTCATTCAGTGGAAAAATTGGTTGATCTTAGTGTTAAATTGGAAAATTTTAATAATCCATGGTATTAGGATATGGTAATGCACTACACTATGTATTATAAACATTAACTTGAAATTACACAATATTTTCACAAAATACTGATTTGAAAAAATCACAAATGGATAGTGTGTTATTTGTAGACTGGTTGGATTTACATCTCCAACATATATATATATATATATATATATATATATGTATGTGTATATGTATATGTATATGTATAATTTTCAATTACTAACACTGATTCCCTGATTTTCCCACGGCGTTTATTGTGCCGATTTTAAATAAGATATAAAAGAACTCATTAACAATTTTAACTAATGATATCTAGCAAATAAGACATTTAATTCGTTAATTAACATTTGGGTCAATAAATTTTTAATGATCGTTAAATCAGACTTTTGAATTTATTACACTACTATATTAAATATATGTATAAAATTTGATGATGATATAAAATTTTAATTTACGACTACAAAATATTTTTCCGTATATTTAATAAAACTTTGTGACTTGTTCTTCGGATTTTAAAAAGCGCTAGAGCACTATGTTTTTAATGATTCCGGATGAGTACTATTTACAAAAGTAGCTCCTATAAAATAGTATGTTATGAAAAATAAGCATTTCCGTAATAGGATTTATATAAACTTATAATAGGATTCATTATTATTATGAAGCTTGATAGGATTACATTGAGATGGGGATTATTTGATATTTAATTTCTGTGAAATGATTTCCTACTAAATGAAATGTCGAAGTGCACGTGCGAATAATAAAATATAATGTTAAAAGAGCGTGGTATTCTGAATAGGTAAGTTGAAGTAAATCAAAGGCAACCAGATTCGCAGACAGTGAATTGTGAGTATTACAGATTCAAACACATAAGCTCTATTTAAGACGCTTATATTGCAGGATTTTTCGTGTACAACATGTTCAATACGTATAAAACACTTTGAATGCTACTTTAAGCATTATGTGATATAATAATAATGCATGTGTATTTCATACAAACACGCAGGCATATAGAAAATAATATATATGTAATGCATATATAGGGTAGAGCGCGTTTCTAAGGTCCGTGGGTAAAATGGTCCACCACCATTATCTCAAATATAAGTAAAAAAAAATTTATCTATAGTATTTTAAAGTAGAAGGCAAATGATATATTTAAGCAACCATCTTAATTCTTACGTAGTCGCTATCAGGAGATAAACGGCCATGTATCAATATTTATAATCCAAGTATTTTTTGTTGGTAGTTTTTTTGGTTTTGAGCTTTTTTGTTTAGTTTATGATACTTGAACATAATTTTTAAGTACTCGTTTTTAATTGTTTTATGAGATGTATGGTAGAGCGGGGCTTAAAGGCACCATCGATATTTCAAAAACTAGTAAAGTTAAGAATTTTTTAACAACAATATTTGAAAGTAGAAGAAAAAGATGTATAATCAGCCATCACCTTGATTCTTAAGACGTTGCTATCGGGAGATACCAGGAATGTTTGAAAATCCATAACAAAGTATTTTATTTTGTTGTTCGTTTTTTGGTTGTGGCCACTATTGTTTAGTTTACGAGGCCTTAATATAATTTTCAAGTATACATTATTTAATTGTTTTATAAGATGTATTATTATTTTTAAGTTAGATGCAACTCACAACTCTATAAAAGCTTAAATGTGGGTGAGGTAAAAAAGATCAACTAAACCTTTAACCTGAAAAAGGCGTAAGTAGTAAAAAAAGTAAATAAAAAAGTAAATTAAGTTAAAAAAAAACAATTTAGCAAGAGATAATTTAAATTTATTCCAACTCTGCTGATGAATATTTCTGACGAAATATCAGATCAAGCTTATATACAGTGTGATTTTTGTAAAAAAATGCGTCCATGAAATTTATATTTCGCATTGGTTGAATAATGTAGCTATTGTTATTTTTTAATAGCATAATATCGATCGACAAGTTAACGCAGATCCTGAGTTTTAAATTTAAAATTAAGACATTAAATCTGTTTGCCCCCTGGCTGTCCCTTTCTACCCAGCCTTTGAAGTAAAAAAGGACAGATCACAAATGTTAGAAAAACAGTTAGCTTAGTTAGCTTTTATTTTACATTTATCCTTCAAAATTAAATGTAAGGCACTGGAACTATTTGCCCTCTCGCTTACACTTTTACGCCGCCTATGGGAAAAAAAGGGACAGATGACAAATTTGGGTAAAATAGTAAAAAATCATATCTCTATAATTAGGATTAAACTGAAATTTTTACTGAACATAGTTGTATAGCTCGATGTTCGATAGGCGTTATGGTTTGTCATATAGTTCATTTAGTTTAGGCAGTGTAATTTCTAAAAGTCAAATTGGAATTTTGTGCCCCGTCCTACCCTATGTGTGTGTATGTAATGAATCTGTAATGAGTTTACTCAACCTGTTAACCGGGCGTGTATTGTTTCTATAATTTCATATGTTTATATTTTATTGATAACAAATGAATGAAAAACTATAAAATATACATATATTGATTATTAATATTTTTGAAACAAATACAAGTTTAATAGTCGATTAAAAATGTACTCATACGCACGTAATTTTCGAAGACGCCTTTATGCGTCCTGTCCGATTAACAGATTAAAATACATGCACTTCAACAGAACAAAAAACACAAAAAACAAACAGAAAGTAAAATATAAAAACGGACAATCAGTCGATTTAAACAATAATAATATAAGAAGTGAATAAATTTACTAAACTTACCATTATTTGATGGAATCGCACAGCGTCCAGGTTGAGCGATCGGTTGAGGCCTCGGAGGCAGCGGTGGCCCCCTATCGTCATCCGAAGCCTCGTCGGATCTCCCGCTAGCTTTTCTATAATCGTCGCTATCTGCAACCGAATAGTGCGTCACAGTCTTTTGTTCATTATTACTAGGCGTTGCACTTGGCCTCTGCGAAGGAGCAGGACTTGGACAATTAACTCTCCTAGTTTGCAGATTTTTAACACTTGTCTGCTCCAGCAGAGCTTGCTGATGTTGATGATTCTCATGATGAAGCTGTTGACTTCCGAGCTGTTGCCCAGAACGGTTGAATTCATTTCCGTAACCTTCTTGATAACTTTCGTAACCGTCACCATAACTTGTTCCTATCAGGCGGCGGCAAGGCGAACCCTGCACCGCAGGGCACATGTCCGGACTCGACGACATGACTTCGAAGTAATCGGCGGCGTTATCGACTCATATCGGAGTTTATTTTGTTTAGATATCATACAAGTCAAATATATGTTAATGAGATTATATACACTATAGAAACCGTAGAAGGTCTCATATGAAAATAATACTCTGTTCACTGGGAATTAACACACACCGATTCGCGTACACTATTCAAGATTTGGATCAATAAGTTCTTTGGTAACAATCACTATTTTAAAACTTGTATTTGTTCTTCTTAACTCCATTTCTGTATCTGTAATGGAATCATGACCAAGTCAGTGATTTGTCAAAATAATGTATATATGTATTGATTTTTTTATTATTAGTATTATGATTGAATTATTTCATTATAAGAATTGTTAATATTGTCTTCAGAGTAAAACATCAAATAATGGTGAGAATTTTTATTTTCCCAATTTTTTTGGCATAAAATCTCAAGGTGTGTGTGTGTTTCAAATTTTCGTCGACGATTTCGAGAACACGGTTCAACCGATTTCAATTATCCAAAAAACATTCAATTGCTGTTCATAAGGAGATATGCTGATTAGTGTCTGGCATAGGCAGGTCTAGCTGTTTCGAAGATACGGGGCAAAAAGTGCCACAAACGGTAACTCAGTTTTTAAGAGAACGGAGTGTCTGATTTTAACAATTCAAAAAATATTTTACTTGTATTGACAAGATGAAAAACTGATTGAAATTTTGGGCAGACAAGTATAGCGGTTTCGGTGATCTAGTAAAAAAAGTAAAAAAGATGTCATTTGGCGGTCAAAAATGATCATTAGACATATGCACATAAAATTATCAGATATTTTATAGACATTTTAACCAATGTTTATCCGTTAGACGGCGACGCGGCGCTTACGCGCTTCGATATTTAGACTCTATGCACTTAAAGTAGTACGATTGCTTTGAAAAAAAGTTCAGAACTTCCAAAATATGTCAAAATAAAGAAAACATTCTTTTTCAAAAAGTCTTTTTTTAATTTTATTTTGTTTCAAAAATGTATAGTTTGTCAAAAATCTATTTTTTTCAAAGTAATTTTTTTTCAAAAATGTTAATATTTAAACAAAATAATTTTTGGTACGGGAGGTTCCAGCAATTTGCCTTAAGGCACGATGCCATGCGCCACACTAGTTTTTTTGTTACTTATATACTACAAATAAATAATTTTAACTTTGCAATTCCGTTTATATAATTCTTATAAATATTAGACAATGTTACAGTATTTATAATAATCTATTTGAAAACTTTTAATATTTCTCGGAGATTTCGTTACGGTACCAGTAGTTCCAGCAATTTGCCTTAAGGCACGAATTTATACACCACTAGTTATTTTATGTATTGCCTTGAAGACTTTAAACATAGTGTATGTGTAATATAACAGATAAATACATGTATAAATAACTAAAGTACAAGTCCGGAAACTTTCGTATCTGCTTAAATATATGCATACCATATACACAAGAGTTTACGAACTCAATTTAATCCTATTCCAATTTAATAAAAACAGTCACCATATAATTCAACATTCGAATAACTACTTTAGTTGCTTTAGTCAATCTCATTTATATTTGAAATAACTTCATTAGCACTTCGGTCTCAGACAAGATTTCCGTTGCACTAATGATGCATGTAACGATGAAATTAGATAATCGTTCCAACTCAGAAATTTCATAAAGTTCGTACAAAGTTTAAGTTCAAACATTTGAACAAGTGTAATCTGATTCATCATCTCATAACCCAGGATAATTAGGACAAGGATACCAAAAGATTTTAATTGAAGTGATTTTTGTGGGAACATTACTTTGAACTATTCTGGTGCAGTCCAATTATAACTCGAATCCGGTGATTTACTAAGAACAACGACTCTGGTGTTTCGTATGACGAAATCTTTGGTAGGTAATTGTCCCAGGAGATCAGCGTCACGGTTGCGTTTAGCGCGACCCGACTGTGAGTAATCGTACTTTGTCCGACGAGAGATTCATCTCGTGTCAAAAGTTCTGCCTGGCAATTAGGATTCGTTATACGAAATACTGGAGTATTTTCTCGGTGTCGAAATTCGTGTTCGACTTCTTATTCGGCACAGTAATAAAGAGCAAAGACATTTATTCAGAGTTAACAATCATGGGAAAAGTTCAGATATAAATAGACACTCGAGAAGTATGGAGGCAATTCGGGTGAAAAACTGTCCAGTGGCAATGTTGAGATTAATTTAGTAGGCCGTTAATTAGATTCTTATTTTCGGAGTTTCAAAACTTTATTTGTTGCTTTCTAAAACTTTTTTTTTAAGTTCTGAAACTAGACATAGTAATTATGAGGAAAGCAGATTATTTTGAATATTTTGCTTAAGATAATGAATAATGATATTTCGATCAACATCACTAAGCAAATTCTATAGTTTGAAAGTTCAAACAATATATTAATCTTTTTCACAAAATTTATAAATGTAAATCAATTGTACAACACTTTTTGTTTATTTTATATAAAGAGTAAAGATTAGTTAGCATTAATATTTTTCAGCAAATAAATTATTACAAACATAATTAAAATCAAAGTAAAGCATGCAAAATGCAGTAAAAATAAGAATAAATAGATTCAAAGTGAATAACTTCATAGCTCTAACAAATCAATGTTCTTACTAACTGCAGCATATTTAATATGATCGCATAAAAAGTTTTTAAGTCATTTTTGTTTTGATTTTCGATTAATGATAGCTAAACCTGACAAACTTAAAAAATATTATAATTTAACTATAAAATGTTGGGTCATATAAACTTTTCAGACCGGCAGATCTTTTGATGCTAAATTAGGTTCTCTACATTCACTACATCAAGCATAATAACTGAAGAAAAATTAGTTAAACCGAGATAAAATTTAATTCAACTCTATAGTAAATATTCAATTTACATTTTTAAACGGGGTAAGACAATAAAATCGTATCCTGGTAAACTGGTCCACCATCATTATCTTAAAAACAAGCAAAGTGCAGAATTTTTTAATGATACTATTTTAAAGTAGAAGGAGAAATACGTGTAACCAATCATCACCTTTATTCTTACAACGTTGCTATCACGGAATAAACAGAAATGTATGAATATTCATACCAAAAGTATTTTTTTCATTTGTAGTTTTTTTGTAAGATGTAAACAATAAGATAAGAAATATTAAATAAAAAAGTACAATAAGTTAGAAAAATCAATTATTCAAAAAAATAATTATTCGATCATTGCTGATGAATATTTCTCTCGAAATACCGGATCAAGGTTATATGCAACGAAATCTGTGTTCCTTGATTTCTTTTGTTTTCACCTTGATTCTGACGGCGTTGCTATAATATTAAAATGAAAATATTTAAAATTTCAAAACAAAAATATTTTCCTTCATTTCCAATTTTTTTTGTGAGCATTGTTGTTTAGTTTACAAAACCTTAATATTATTTTTAAATATACCTTATTTAATTGTTTTATAAGATTTGTTAATTTTAAATTAGATTCAACAGTTTTTTTTATATAACCTCTATAAAATCTTACATGTTGTTGGGGTAAATAGGACCAACTAAAAACCTTTACTATATTGTTTACACCTTTACATTGGCAAAGGTGCAAACAATAAGAAATAGTAAATAAAAAAGTAAATTGAGTTAAAAAAGCAATTTTGCAAGAGATAAGTTAATTTAATGATTATTAGAACTCTGCTGTTGAATCTTTCTCTCGAAATACCAGATCAAGGTTATATACAATGAAATCTTTTAAAAATAATGTTTCCATAAGATTTGTATTTCATATTGGTTCAATAATGTAGCTATTATTTTGTAAAATCCCTTTAAAATTCAATAGAGACATTAAATCTGTTTGCCCCCTGGCTGTCCCTTCTTACCCCGCCCATGGAACAGATGACGAATTATAGAAAAATTGTAAAAAAGTATATTTCTATAATTAAGAGTTAACTGGGAGTTTTACTGAACATAGTTTGATAGTTTGTTTGATGCTATGTGCTGTGGTGTAGTTCATTTTGATTTAACAGTGTAATTACTGGAATTCAAATTGGACCTTTGTGCCTTGCCCTACATAATAACAGAAAAGTTTTACTTAGTTAAATTGAATTAAAAGTTGTAATTAAATAAAAATAATGTTTTTTCATGCGAGCGTGGAAATGGAAAAAACACTTTTCATGAATGCTTCTGGCTTATATTTGAAAAAAAAATGTTGATGATTAAACAAAATTTAAAACATCTGTCTTCATATGATACGTTTTCAAAATATAGTACCAAGTATGTTTCGCGTTGATCAGATGTAAGTATTCTTATTGTCAGTTTGTAATATGGAACAGTAATGCATTATGTTAGCATGAAGCAAAAGTTGTAATGAAAAGCAGATGCCGATTCTGCATGCACGGAGTGCAAAGAATTGTATTATAATTTGCATATAAAGTTTGTTTCATTTATTTTGTTCGGACCGACGATCCTTATGAAATATGCGCGCACATCGTTCGCCGTCTATATCCGAACAAATCACGTACTACATTAGGTACTACATTCACTACATGAAATACATCTAGCGTAATAGCTGAAGGAAAATTAGTTCAACCGATAGAAAATTTATTTTTATACTTTTTTAAATTTACCTATACTTGCAAGAATAGATTTAAATCAAACACCGTTCACTGAAGGGCCAGTATTTATTATATAATAAGGTGTTCCACAGAGCAACGGTTACGCGCACTACCTTGTATAGACAAGGTATCGAGTACGACTTATATCAATTTTCACGGGAAAATATAGATCAAAAATATGTTTCCAATAGGAGATAGCCCATTTTCAAGCATCTGAGAGTAAAATGGCAATGAGAAATCTCTCACACTATTCTTTCCTAAATCGAGTTGAAGTTTAACTCAGCTCAAGCACCTGTCCTAGGGTAGTACTACCCATCATTATTTTATTATAATATAATAACTATATAATTTATATTATTAATATAAATTTAAATTTTATTATA